CTTCACTCCGAGACTTCTAAACACACTTGGGAAAAAAAAAAAAACAAAAAAAACCAAAAAAACCCTTTTTTTTCCAATCTGAAATTTAAAATTGAAGAACTTTACGGCGTTGGGACTTCTGGGGGAGGAGTTCTGAGAAGAATATTCACCATTAATGTGAGGGCCAGACTGGGAGCAGGCGGAGGAGCCAAGCACCAGTGGAATGCAGGGGACAGCCAGCGAGCGTGACCGGCCGGCGCTCCTCTGCCTCTGCTCAGGCACGTCCAGATCCTCGTGGATCCACCACTGGAACATCCATCAGCCACATCAGCACTGCAGGGGCACTGCTGAATGCTCGCTTCTCTCGTGGACACTGCAGAGGTGGCCCCAGAGCCCTGAGCACCTCGTGGTTTTCCGATTTCCTGGCTGCCTTTTCCCCTTCGCCGTGTCCGTTCCCAGGTGTTGGGGTTTCAGCTGAGCTCCTCATCTCTGGGTGGCTGTCGTGTGCCACTTTTTGGATTTCTGAGCAGCGATGCTGAGGCTGCTGATGGACCCCGAGGCCCTGTGACCCCCTCAGTGGCCACGGTGTCTCTGTTCCCTCACATTCCCTCAGCAGACGGCTGAGTTGGGATTTGCTGGCAACAACTCGTTGCATTTTCCAGTTCATTTTCCTTTTATCTCTTTCCAGTAACCCATTTCAGCTCGTTTCCACAGGACTGGTGTGTTGGGATCACCGTGCCTTGTTTGTGTGCATTCCCTGACTTGTTAAAAATCAAAAACTCCTTTTAGCTGAAGAGATCCTTCTCAAAGTTAACACAAATTAGGAATTATTAACAGCAAATTTACAAGTCAAGGCATCTGCATCTCCTTGCATCGTGTCCAAACCTGATTGACAGACAGGGGTTTTTATCCCAAATGTCTGAGGAAAGAAAAAAACCCCAAAATTATTAGGAGAAAAAAATAAACAGGTAATACAATATACTTCTTTACATCCCTGAAAGCCTGTTTCAGCAGGCTGCAGAAAAGGCCCCAAGAGCCATATTTAAACAAGGGAGGCATTCTGCCAACTCAGAATTTGGGAATTCCAGCTGGAGAAATCTCAGTGAGAGGCTTGAGGCTTCTAAGGATATGCTGTGGTGAGATAGATTAGGCAAACTGGAGTCTTACAAAGTTAAAATCAAACCTTCTGGGCTTTCCTGAGCAAGCCAAACAAGGCTTTCCAGCTGAGTGAAAAGTCTGGGTTTTTGGAAAGGGCACTCGGCTCACTGCAGTAAACAGAAAGGTCTCTGAGCTAAATTTTAGACTGGGAGATAAAACTCCATCTTAGGGTAGGATCAGATGTTCTCTGAGTGGGCTGAGGACCTGCCAGGGAGCAGAAGAATGTCTCACACGGCTGGTTTTGGAACCAAGGTGCAGTTTATCCTCTCCCAGCCCTCGCTGGCGGGATGGGGTGGGGTTGAAAGGCTGTGCTGGATTTGCCTCTGTGATTCTGAGGAGGCTTTTTGAGGACAAAGAGCAAAATGTGAGCTGAAAATTGTAATTACAAGAGTAAGAAGATTCCAAGGTGCAAGAGACTGAAACCAGCTGTGAGAGCCATCCTGAGGGATCATTGTGGGGAGCAGATGAATTAAGTGCTGGCTGTGGTGGTGACAAAGAGTTTGTCTCTTTGACTGTGTCCATCTCTTTGTCTTCTGCAGGCTTTGGGTTTAATGTGAATAACAGCAACCCCACCATCTGCATCAACGACCTCATTGCAAAGTTTAACAGGGAAGAGGGGATGGAGCTGCAGCCTCTGAGTGCAGATTGTCTCATCGCAAGGACGGTGACGGTGCTGGAGAGGCTCATCGAGGTTTTTCAGGAGAAGGGGCCCAATGGAATCCTTCCCCAGTACTACAAGTATTGGGTACACAGGTAAGAATTCTCAAACTTTTCTTTTAATAAAATTGGTGGAAGAGCTTGTGGATATTTTGTCTTTTTCCACAAAATTCCCTTTAATATGAATTGAATAATTTAAAATGCTGCTCCCGAGCAGGATGCCCATTTTTAAGGGAGAATTAAAGTAGCACATAATAAACCAGAGACTAGCATGAGTTAAAGGATGCTTCCAGTATTTTACATGTATCATCTCCAAACAAAGGGAATTCAGAATGATTTGGTTTGAGATGGATGAAGCTGCTGTACTTTTAGGAGGATGAAACAAATAGACTTTCGATTAACTCCAACTCCATTCATTCCAAAAAAGGAGATTAAAGCAGGTAGAAAATGCTGCTGAAAGTCATTCTGGGTAAAGAAACCAGTGAGGTGGGAAGTGAAATATTCTGTTAGAGGGTGAAGCCTTTCCTGTGAGGGTGGTGACAGAGAAATCCTGGGTGCCCCATCCCTGGAGGGCCCAAGGCCAGGTTGGACACTGGGGCTTGGAGCAGTCTGGGATAATGGAAGCTGTCAGGGTTGGATTAGGATGATCTTTAAAGCCCTTTCCAACCCAAACCATTCTATGATCCTTTTAATGATTCTGATGAGTCCTCTGAGGTGATTTTGGTGCCTTGGAGTGGCTCCCTAGGACAGAGGCTAGACAAGATTAAGAGAATAAGAGCAGCAGGTATTTATTAAAGGCTCCACAGACACACCTGGGGCACTCAGAAGCCTCCCAGAGGTCTCACCCAAGCTGGACAATGGTCACGAGTGTTTCACACAATTATAAATTTGGCCCATTTACCTATCAGGGGTTAATCCTCCAATTACAGCTGCAGGTAATGAAGTCATTAATCATTTTGCTCCCTCCCAATTCACTTTTTATCCTTTTCAGGGCCTGAGGCTGTAGGGTGTCCTTGGATTTCAGGCCTAGAGGGATTGTTCTGTCTGACCAAAATGTGAAGACAGTCACAAACACTTCCTAAGGAGTTTAGAGTTATGCACTAATGCAGTACAGGATTGGAAAAATGGAAAAGCTGAAATCTTAAGGCATCAGTTTTAACTGCTCAGTGTCCATGAGTTGCTGTCCTGGTTTGAAAGACAGGGGTTTGCTGAGGAAGACAGGAGCCTCTCTTGAAATGGAAAATGTAAACTCCTTCCCTCTGAATTGTTAAAAATTTGAAATTAAGGGGCTCTCAGGCAAAGATGTGGAAGTAGGAATAACAGTTCTTTTTTAGACAAAAAAGAAAAGTAAAATAAAAATGAAGTAATACAAGACAGCACTGCCAGAGTCAGAACATGCTCTGTGTGTCAGGGAGGTGGCTCAGCCCCATCCCAGGGGGGCTCAGCCCTCCTGCAGTGCCAGCTGTGCTTCTGCTGGAGCAGGATCTGCACAAGGGGGGAGTTTTCCTCTGGAGCTCCAGGGCTGGGGGAGATGGGCCTGGGCTCCTCTGGGAATGCAGGGGGAAGAAAGCTGCTCCTCTGGGAATGCAGTGGGGAGAAAGCTGCTCCTCTGGGAATGCAGGGGGGAGAAAGCTGCTCCTCTGGGAATGCAGGGGGAAGAAAGCTGCTCCCCTGGGAATGCAGTGGGGATAAAGCTGCTCCTCTGGGAATGCAGTGGGGAGAAAGCTGCTCCTCTGGGAATGCAGGGGGAAGGAAGCTGCTCCTCTGGGAATGCAGGGGGCAAAGGCTGCTGTGCTGTTCCCAGGTCAGATTGTATCCAGGTAGGAATGCTAGGAATCCAGGTAGAATGGGCAGAGCATCTCCCCATGGATGATGGAATTTTCTCAGCCATGCAGGGACACTCACTGGCCATGATCAGGAGATAATTAATAATTAATGGCCCATTAACAGAAGAGATCTGGAGGGAGATGCTGGGTCATATTGTATCCAGGTAGGAATGCTCGGTTCCTCCCCTGGGCAGAGCATCTCCCCATGGATGATGGAATTTTCTCAGCCATGCAGGGATGGACAGAAGATAATTAATAATTAATGGCCCATGAACAGAAGAGATCTCCTGGAGGGAGGATTGGCTGTGGGAGAGATAAAGAGAAAACTGCCCAGTGAGCAGAGAGAACTGCCCCAGCTCTGACAGAGGAAATAGAACACACCCCAGGCACGTGCTGCACTTCCCTTAGGGCATTCCTGACAGAATTCTGTGTTCCAGCGGGAAGCAGGTGCGGCTCCGTGGCGAGGAGGGGCCCCTGGCCTGGATCGTTGGCATTGATGACTACGGATACCTGCAGGTGCACGAGGAGGGCCGGGGCGTGGAGTCTGTGCACCCTGATGGCAACTCCTTCGACATGCTGAGGAACCTCATCGTCCCCAAGCACTGACAGGGACTCTTTGGCACTGGCACTGGCACTGGCACCTCGACCTGTTCAAGGTGGGAAGGGTAGCTGAAAGTTGGATTTTTCCTTCTGGTTTTCCGCTTTGTGTTTGCCCTGGGTAACGTCAGCAGCTGAAAAGAGGTGGTGATCTCACAGCTGAAGGCCTTTATTCTTTTCATCAGTGTTAAAACACACCTCTGTTGCCATTCTTTGTAAGGATCTCTTCTTTTGCAAGGAATCTGATTGCAAAAAGGAGTATTTGTGGTGAACAGAACTTTGTCTTCATTTTCACCCTGTACTGGAGAGACTGAAGTGGCTCAGTATTTCCTTTTTTTTAATTTTGTTTCTGTGTGATTTAGCACAGTGCAGGACAATATTTATTTTTTTACTTTTTTTTTTTTTTTACTTTATTTTTTTTTTTTTTTTTTTTTTTTTTTATTTTTTTACTTTTTTTTTTTTTTACTAAATTCTGTTTTTCTGTGTTGTCTGCACTGAAACCAGCTGGAACATCACATATTCCTGAATTGCTGGGATCACCACTGTGCTTAATTCCAGGTCTGAGTGAAGATCCTTGCTGATTTGGTTCTTCTCTGTGTAGACCTCTGCAATAATTTACCAACCTGTGGTTTGATCTCAGGCCTGCAGCTCTTAAAGGCTGCCTTGAGTTTTTGGGAGAGTATTCCATCAGCACTTGGGAGCTGTGCTTGGTTATCCGAGTGATTTGCACTCTGCTCTCCTCAGTCAGCTGGATCTGAGTAAATCATCTCATCTGTCCTTCAAATCATGGTTTTCCAAGAGGTTTCAGGAAGAAAAACCCACTGGAGCAGTGTCGCACCCAGGATATTTTAGCGTCTCACCTCAGGGGGTAGAACCTATAATTAATTTATAATTTAATGTAATTAATTTATAATTAATGGTAATTATATCATTATCTCAATGAAGTTAAGTGAACAAATAAAGGGAATAAATCAAAGTCCCTGCTGCAAACAACTACTGCAGTGAGAAAGAGAAATCACACCGTTCCCCCGGGTCCAAATTCCCTTCCACAGCCCTTTTGTCACCCCTTTCCCAAGCCAGTGCCTGGGTTTGCTGCTAAGCAGGAAAAGCAAGAGCTTTAACACCTGCTGACCTGAAAGCTGCTCATTTTTGGGGCTGCCTGCACATTTCCAGGTGGGGGGAACAGCCTGGGAATTCTCCTGGAGCAGCCACGTGGGAGCTCGGTGAGGTTTTCTCCCAAGGAGACTTGGCCACCACAGCTCCCCAAAAAATTCCGTGCCAACCAGGCTTGTCCCAGGTGTGATGTGGCCACCTTAATTTCTTTTTTTTTTTTCCATGGTGGATCAGCCAGATTGGTTTCCAGAAAGGAAATTACTGTCTTCTAGCCAGAAATGGGGTTTTTAGGTTAAAGTTCGCCTCATAAACAATCCAAACATTTTAGATAGTTTCAGCTTCAAAGCCAAGAAGTTTTAAAACAAGGAAACTTGTCTGTCATAGTAATTTTGACCAATCCTCACATATTAGGGTTTAGGTGGTTTGGCAGCAAGAGTAGAAATTAAATTGTCCCTGTTCAATTTAGGATTTTATGCTCCATCTCGCAAGATTTGTCTTGATTGTCCAAACCCTGCTGTTTTGTTTTGTTTTTTTTTTCCCATGATCCAAATCATGTGAGGCTGCACACCAGCATCTCCTAGAACTGCACACACACAGCTGTTAATTGCCATAATTAAAATGATACACCAAGTTTAGCTTTCCCCCACCAGATGCTTTCCTAAGTGCTTCGGGCTGAGAAGGTTTGGCAGCTGCCTTTGATATCAGAATTCAATATTAATGCATGTTGTAATCAACTGAGACTCGAGTCTGGCTTAATAAAGCTTCAGTAAAAAGAAGAAACCATATATTTATATATAGATCTATAAAAAATGGGTGTGCACATGCACACTCACATCTTGCTGCTGCATCCTCATTTATTTTCTGCCTTTTCCTTCACGAGCAAACTGTGCTGCTGCAGGAAAGCAGAGCTCTGGTGCTGCTTTTCCAGCCACAGGGTTGTACAAAAGTTCACCTTGACCCAGAAATTGTAGCTAAAACTCTCTCAGCTTTAGGATTTGCCTGCAGGGAGCACCTCTGGGGTTTTGTGCCACACAGACTGGGAAGTGCCTGGAGGGATTGAACAACCAGGTCGTGCCTCAGGCTGGGGCTTGAGTGGCTTCCTTAAAACTTCCTTCTCCCTTCACCAGGGACAAAAAAATACAGGGAAAAGGATAAAACATGGGAATTTTGGAAGGGCAGGAGGAGTTTGTAAAGCTTTAGTGGCTGAGCAGCAGCAGATATATATTTTTAACAGCAAAATGCTGCACCATTTCCTGGCTGCTGTTGGTCCTTTTGTAGCTGCCTTAGTGATGAGCTGCTTCTAGGAGCTGTCAGGTTATTCCCAATATTTTTGTACTGGGAAGAAACTTGGAGTGGGATTTCCTTGCCACAAGGGAGAGCTGCCCAAACCTGGATGTGCCCAAGCCACTTTGCTTTTTCAGTGGCCTCTTGTGGTGTCTCCTGGATTTGGATGAAGGATTTGCTGCTTTCCCTTGGGAAGAACCAAAGCCAAGGAGAATTCCCATGGGACAGAAATGGATGAAATCCTTGCGGGTGAGTCCCTGGAGAAGTCCCTGACTCTCTGTCAGGTAGAGTCTGATTCTGCCAATCGTGGCATGCCCAGAAAGCCACAACATTTTTGCAGGAAAATCCTCGTTTTTCTTGTTCTCCGTGTGTGACAGACAAATGTGGTGTGGGGTGGCCCTGGATGTGGGGCTGGAGAGATCCAGCCAGCTCCAGGCCCAGGAATAATGCATTGAAAATGTCTCATTTCGTTCAGCTGTCTGGATTAGTAAAACACCTCTTCCATTGTGAGGCTGAGGTCATATCTTAAACTATTTTCTTGATGAAGTGCTTTCAAAAAACCCATTTATTGCCATGTCCGTATTTCTGGGACTTCATTTTTTTTAATTTTTTTTTTTTTCTTTTCCTGCTGGGCTCTGGTGGAACATTTCTCATGGTGAAAACATTTGTGGGGGTTGTTTATTGATAGGAAAACTTCTGGGTGTGTTGGCACGCGTGCGAGTGCGGGGTGGGTCGTGCCCAGTCAGCAACAAAGCTGCTTCCAAAGGTTTGAAAAAGTAATAATGCACTTCACATTTCAGAGTCCAGGCAGCACATCCTGCTTCTAGTAAAGCTTTTATAAGACTTCAGAGCTTTTTTTTTTTTTTAATACATCCAACAAATCAAGGGCTATTACCTGGAAATAATATTAAAGCATTTAATTCTTTATGCTGCTGCTTCACTGTGCAAAAATTTGTTTCTTTGCTTTCTCTGATTCAGCTGCATCAGCAGCCTGAAAAAAAAAATTACTTTTTGCAACTCTTTGGAGATCTCTACAATCAAGCTGTCTGTCATGGGAAAGATTTGTGCTGGTTCCTGAGGGTCACTGGTTTGATAAAAGCATTTGCATGTCCAAGTGGTGGTGGGGATGCACTGCCTTGATCTGACACCAAAGAAATTAAACCTGGGCCCAGGAAAGGGCAGAGGTCAAAAAATGACAGATAAAAAAGAACTGCAGGGAAGAATTGTCAAGTGTTGAGTATTGGTGATTCTGTGTTGTTTGCATTTTCCAAGTGTCTTCGTTTAAAACGCAACGTGGCAAAAATACAATAATTTTTTAAAAATCTGTGTTTTATAATACGTTAATTGTCAATGTAGAACACGTCATGCTTGAAATAAATTTTCAAATATGCACCACTGTCCTTTGTGAAATACTTTGTTTTGTATTTAAAAAAAATTAAAAGAGAGACATTCAACTCAGTTTTCCTTTGGCTACAGGATTTTATTAACATTTTAACAGTTTTGTTTTACATAATAAATAAGCAAAAATGCTTTACATTTTTAGGGAATACATATATAATTCTGAGCTTGAATAGGTTGGTTGGGTTGCGTGCCTCTTCACCTACACTTGCCAAATAGCTTTTATCTGCATCATATTAAAAAAAAAAAAAAAAAAAGCAAAATCTAACCTTCAGGAAAAAAACTGGAATAACAACATTTCCTCTGTGGCGTTTTTGAAGTGTGGCTGAAATGCTGGAAAAATGAGAATTTATGTCCTGTCTTGAGATTTCTGGAGAAATTCTGTCAGATTTCCCATTCATTGGCACTTTCAGTGGTGAATTCCCCAGTTTTGCACCTGTTGTGCTGGATTTTTCTTAAATTACCTTTTCCAAATCGCAGGGCACAGAGAGCTGGGGACAGATCTGTGCTTTTTTCACCTTGTTTTATTCCCATTGCACTGCTTCCAAAACTTGGAGACCTCACTATGGGATTCACTTTTCCAGCTTTACCTGGGGCTGGTGGAAGATTCCCTGACTGGCAGGGGGTTGGAACGAGATCTTCAAAGTCCCTCCCAACCCAAATTTTCTATGATTTTGGTAAAATATTCCCTCTTTCACTCTCTTTCTCCCATTTTCTGTGATTTTCTTGCCAAGTCTGAACTCCTCTGAGAGTTAAAATCTTGTGAAGTCTCATGACAAAGGAGTGGCTCAAATACTAAAGAGAAATGAGGTTATTTTTCATTCTATATTTCAATTCACATTCCCCCTCAGCCACCATCATTTTGTTTTCATTATTGAAAACATTTTTCATTAAAGCACAGCCACTGTGATGGCAGTGCCCTGTTCTGCACTATGATTTTGCTGAGAACATCTGTAATTTAACTGACCAAAAAAATCCTATTTTTCTCCCAATATAATTTACTCCCAGATGGGAACATGGAATTGCTGTTTAAATCTTGGAGAGTGTCAGGAAAAAAAAAAAAAAAAATCCTTCCCACATTTGCTTTTGCCATCTTTTCTGCACTTTCCTCTGCATTATCAGCTGTGGGTTCTTAATTGGTTCATTATTGCCTCGCAGGGAAATTTCCTGTGCCTGGGCATCACCTCCCCTAAAACACCTGGGGGAGGATGATGGAACACCTCCTCAGCTCGGGCTGCTGGAATAAAGCCTGGAAGTGGGAATAACAAGGTGGAAAAATATCGAGCTGCAAAATATTGAGGGTGTTTTTCTCAAGCAAAGCCTCATTTTGGTGTTTTTCTAGCAAGCAGCACCTCCAGGAACACCCAAATGCAGCAGTGCCACTAATGAGGGGGAAAGTGCAGCAGCAGAGCTTGGGCATCAGGTTTCTTTTTAATGATGCCAACCATGCCAGTGGCTCCTTTGTGGGGCGTGGGTTTAATTTAATTGAACAAAATTAACCCAGGAGTCTCAGCGTAATTATCTTTTCAGGGGTTGGGGTCGTTTATGAGGAGCAGGGCTCTGAAGCACTGGGAAAGCCACTGGTGTCTCCTGGCTTTGATTGATGGGGTCAGCATGATGAAAATCCACATTTACAGCTTTTCTGGAGCCTTGCCAGCTTCTCCAGCACTGAACAAGCTGAGGTTGCACAGGGAGTGACTGTGCTGCTTGGGTTCTGTTTTGGTTTTTTTGTAATCACTGATTTGGCTTTTTTTGGTTCTGTTTAGCACCAAATTTATTTTTCATGCAATTTCAAACAACAGCTGAGAGCGTTCGGTTCAAGTTCGTTTTTCAAGTGAATATTAATTTGATAATAAAGGTTTCTCTGTTAAACTTTAACAGGAAGCAATGAAAAAATATACTGAAAATTGTTTTCTAGCCTTTGCTTTTGAAGTATTTTTGTGTACTCACAGCAGTAAATATTCACACACAGAAAGAAATAACTTTATTACTGTATTCTAATGGAAAATTCCCTGCCCATTTCAGGGCCTTGGAACTGCTGGATGAGCTTTAAGGTCCTTCCTAACCCAGACCATTCAGGGATGAATTATTGCTGCATAAAAAAGATGGAGAACATGGAAATTTTAGGACTGAGTATTGCATTATGATTTTTCTGACACGGTGCAATCCATGAGCAAGTGTTTTTCCCATGTTACACAAACCAGATAAGAATTTTCTTCAAATAATTATGGAATGGTTTGGGTTGGAAGGAACCTTAAAGCTCATCCAGGGAACTTTGCACTATCCCAGGGTGCTCAAGGTTTTTCAGTGAAGTTCTCTTTAGAGTCTGATGAGAGAAAGTTTGAAAAATTCTGAATTAAGCTTGGATTGGGGTAAAAAATGGAGCTGAGTGATATCTAGAGCCACACTTATTGTTTAGGGAGCCTTTTGTTGTTTTATCCACTCACAGTTTTTGGGCTGAAAACCACCGTGGGCTGGGTGTTGTCAGCTGGACTCACACAGATCCATCCTCTGCGAAGAATTGAAAATAAAGGGGTGAAAATCTATTCCTGGCTGGCTGGGCCAAATGTGAGTGTTTCAAATGTGCTGGTTGGGATTTGTGAAGTGCTCCAACCAGGGAATTCCAGCCCTACCTTTGTGCTGACAACAGGATTTATGCTGGAGGAAGTTCAGCGCGTTAAGAGCTGGAATTTTCAAAGCTCACAATTCTACTGGTAAGTTCAGAATAAGGCAGAAATGTTCATTATTCTCTTGACTATAAAGAAAACATTTCTGGTGCTGTTATTAAGATGTATTTGTGACTGGCTGGGTTGAAAATCTGCACAGGCTTCCCCCAGAATACTCAGGGAAACACAGGATTTAGGAGTTTCCTTTTCTTATTTGTGGGGAATTAGTTCCTGCTCCATAATTTGTCCCAATTTGCCATGACAAGACCTGTAACCCTGTAATACCTGTCTTTGTAACTATTAATTTGTCATATTGTCCCTTGTCAAGATAAATGGTGGTGGCAACAATCTCCGAACACGGAAATCTATGCTAAATAAATCAAATTTAGGGTTGATTTATTTAGTTTTAAAACTTTCTGGTAATTAATAAATAAGATTTTTTTTCTGTTTGAGTAGGACAGCTGTGTTGTGGTTGTTCAAAATCACCACTCTCTCAACCAAGTCCATTTGTCAGGGGGTTGGGTGGAGAGTTGATGCGAGGTTTCACACGATTTGTCAAAAAAACCCTAAACTAGAATGCATATTTTCTGATAATGATTAAAAAAACCAAAAATCTTGAGTTTATTTTAAGGAGGGGTCAAGGAGAAAAAAAAAAAAATGTTCTTCATATAAACCTCTGCATATAACACCTCTCATTTCCTTCTGCTGCACACTATAAAATAACAAAAATAAGATCTGGAACTTGGCTTCTCCCTGGCACCAGAGCTGTGTCGGGGACACCGAAGCACGGCAGGGGATGGAGGAGATTTTCCTGGCCACTGGGACTTGTGGAACTCACCAGTTCGTCCCTCACCGCCCTCCAGCTTTGCTCAGTAAATGTCACTGCGTTTCCTCATGCTTTTTTTGGGTTTTTTTGTTTTTTTTTTCCTCTTTTTACCAAATCATTACCGTTTGGCTTCTTAATTAAACACAAAACCCTCCCGTGCTACCGTCACCTGCCGTTGGCGATAATTACAGAAGTCCCAATGTAATGGGGTAGTGCAGATTCCTTGTGGGTTTCTGGAGAAGAAGCCGAGGAGGGGCTTTGGTTTTTGTAAAGAAACGCGTTGACTTCCTCGGAGCTGTAGGAATAATTTTCCGCCACGTGTCCCGTGGCCGTGCAGGGGGACGTTGGGAAGGCTCCGTGCTTGGCCAGCACGTGGTGGTAGTTGAGGAGCACGAAGGGGACTTGGCCCGAGGGTCTCACGTCCATCAGCCGCTCGCCGTCGGCCTCGTGGTCGAGCTTCGCGCTCATCCTCTCGTCCAGCTCCTCCATGCTGCCTGGGTGGTGGCTGATGTGCCCAAATTTGGGGTCTTTGACACAAATCCTCCTGCTCTGCTCGTAGACCGAGGGCACGGGCAGCAGGTGGCTCAGCTGTCCCACGGCTTTGGCCTGGCAGCACTCGGCTTTGGGCAGCAAGGAGCTGGAGAAGGAGCCCTCGCTGATGGCCATTTTTTCCGGCAGGTCTCTGGGGAAAGGCAGCTTGCTTTCCTCTTTGATGAGGTGGGCGGGGGGCTGGATCCTGGCCTCGGCTTTGTTGGGTTTCATGATGGCAGAGTCGTAGAGCTCCTCCTTGTAGCGGCCCGGCACCGGCGCCGTGCAGCTCGGGAAGGGCTCGGCCAGAGCGTCCTGGTTGTACCTCCTGTTGGACAGTGGCACTGCCAGGGGAAGGAAAAGGTGTTAATTACTGACAACGAGCCTCTGCAGTAATTATAACTCGCTGGCACTAACTTGTGAACTTATCTGAACTTATCATCGTTCAATCAGGGGAATTGAACCAAAGAAATGTTAGGAGCTGCAGCCTGAAACCAAAAATTTTCCCTTTAAGTAAGCTCTTCACAGAGATTTAGCTAAAAGCTGGATGACACTGGTGCCTATCAATGATTCCATGATTAACATAATGGAATTGTTTTAATCGTGGAATAATAGCCAGAAATAAACTGGATTTATTCTACCTGTCATTGTGGGAGTGCATTGGGCACTTGTCCTTGCAAGGAGAACATCCAGCTCAGAGGTTGGACTCAGTGATCTCAAAGGTCTTTTCATTCTGCAGAATTCTGTTTGATTCTCTTAATTTCTGGTATTTATTTGGGGTATATTTAATATCTACATAAGAAGGTGACGTGCCATTAATGAAATCTCTTTGTGATACCCAGAGTGGGTCATGGTGGAGGCTTTGCTTTTTCTCTTTGAAAAGGTGACATCAGATATTAAAAACATCTCTTGAAAAGCAACACAAACACCTCTTCAGCAGTGCTGGGTCTCTGCTTTTAAGATGTTGCCATGTAATGAAGGTGGATTATGATAAAAATGCAGGTTACAACCTTGAATGGGGGAGAAAAAATTGGGCGTTTTTAGAGAATTAGAAGCCAGATATTTCACTTTTCAATAGTGTGAACCTAGGATGTCTATTCAGGCTTTTCCTCTAAAATTTATTGGGCAGTCTCTTTTCTCCTCCTTTCCTGCATGGCAACTGAACTCTTGAAGCAATTTGAGTTATTTTTACCATTTTCTGCTTACCTTATGAAGCTTTTCCTTTCTGTACACCCCTATCTACAAGTGGTGAGAGAAAAGGCCCCTGGTTTTCTCCTGTACCATATGAGTAATAATTTTTTTTTGCACTCTTCTATGAACAGTTTGTGAGTTTAACAACACCTCCAAGGCACATTTGAAAGTTTTATGTTAAAGGAAAAATGACACACTGAGAAAATTTCTCAAGTTAGACCCAAACTCTTGTTTTGTGTGAGGTTCACTGGAAGCCCTGGACACTTAAGTGCCTTTTTAAAAAAGGATTTTCTGTTTTTCTAACGATTTTATTAAATGTCTTAAAAGTTGTGGAGTTCCTCTCTATTGGTTGCTGATGTAACCGTGCCCATTAATAATTAAATATTCCCTGTGCTGTAATAGACTGGCAAAGCCTTCATGGATAACAGAGGAAGCAGAAATAGCTCAATTGTACCTTTTTTTTCTTTTATGTGCAGAGCTCCATTAATTTCAGAGGGAGTTGCACTACGTAATTAACACCAGAATTTAAACAGGAATCTGGTTCCAATTTCTTCTTCACCCTCCTAGAAACAAGAACCTTTCAAGTTATTCTTTCCCTTTTCTATGTATACATTTTGTCACAAGAAGGAGAAGCTGAAGGAAGCCGAGTTCTCAGCAGCTGGTGAAAAATGGCCCTTGCAGATCACAAATCCAACCAGGGCTCAGCCACGTGCTTGAGAAGGGATTGGGAATTTCACTGGTGTAGTTCAGTGCTCTGGTTTCAACCCCACATTTGGTGTTTTTATTGTGAAGTCAATAGAGATGCTGAGAGCTACTGACATGTAAATAATACGGTTTAATGTTCAGCTGTTCTGGGTTTAAGGTGTCCACAAGAGGGATGGATTTGTCCTCCTGCAGTTTGGAATATTTTCACTTTATGGCTCTTCTTTAATCTCTGAACAAAACTTTGTCCTTCTCCATTTCTAGAGCCCAAGAGAACTTGGGAGAAGCTGAGGCATCACAGCCACCAGCTGGCCTCTGCCTTGTCCCCTTGAATTTTGTAATCTCCAGTCCTGCTGGGCTGAGGGTGAACCACCAGGTTGTAAATCACAGAATCACGGAAAGGTTTGGGTGGGAAGGGGCCTCAAATCCCACCCAGTGCCACCCCTGCCATGGCAGGGACACCTCCCACTGTCCCAGGCTGCTCCAGCCCCAGTGTCCAACCTGGCCTTGGGCACTGCCAGGGATCCAGGGGCAGCCCCAGCTGTGCCAGGGCCTCACCACCCTCTGAGCAAAATATTTCTTCCCAATCTCTGATCTGACCCCTGTGGCACTTTAAAACCATTTTCCCTTGTCACTTCCTGCCCCTATAAAAGTCCCTCTCCATCCCTTTTATCCCTTTATCCCTATCCTCCCTTTAAGGCAGAGATAGAGCAGGTCTTAATACAACCCCTGCCCATGAAAAGATATTTTTTCAATTATCTCAGTCTGTGTTTGTCTTTGTCTGAGCCCTAATTTCAAATCACCCAAGGCATGGGCTGGTTGTTCTCCATTATTGTCTCTCCAGAAACAAAGGTGAGACAAAACGTCTCTTTGTCTCATGGGGAATTCCCATTGCAAAATGTCATTTCTTTCTTCCAGTATTCACTGGATAAATCTGGGAAGTTTTTTCACAGATTTTCTCCGTCTTTTTCCTAATTTCTTGAGTTTTGGCATGACTGGTGGCACAGAACTTCACACAGGTAGCTCAGAAGGGCCAACAGCACCCCTGAAAGACCAGCAGATCCTGTGGTGCCCACAAGGTAAAAAGGAAACTTCTGACTAAAAACACAGTTGCCTTCACTGAAATGATTTTTTTTTTTTTTTTTTTTTTTTTTTGGGCCAGCTGGGAAAAAGTGGAAGAAGCTTCAAAACCAGATCCTGAAGCAGAAACATCTGATTTGCAGGCAGTCGTATCTGCTACGTGCTTCTTCAGAGCTTTGATGGCTTGGCACCATCATCCTCCAATCTCTGATCTCTCCAAGAGGAGCTATTTTTCCATGGAGAAAAATGTCTCTGGCCCACGGCGTTTTTGGCAGCTGCTGCCAAATGTGGATGTGATGTGGAATAGCCCTCGCATCCAAGCCGGCTGCCAGATGTCAGATTTGGCTTTGCCTTCTGGATCGAAGCTGATGATGCTAAGCAGATCCTCCCCGCTTTGAAGCTCCCTGCCTGTCAGTTCTCCAGTGGGCCACTGGAAAAAAGCAGCACTTGACAACCTAAGGGAGATCAGATCCAAAAAATAAAAGGGAAGGAAAAAAAAAAAGTCGCTTCCAAAAGTTCAGAATTCAGCAAAAATGCAACAGCTCTGCTTGAGGAGGAAACAAGGCTGAAAATCTGGGTGGAAATCCTGTCTATATAGGGGAAGCTCTGTTCTTTCCCCTTTTATCCAGGCCTGAGTTTGGCCATATTTTTTTCCTCAACTCAAAGGAAATATGTATGTATTTCCTTTAAAAAAAAAAAAAAAAGTCTATTTTTTAATACAATTCAAAGTGCTTTTGCAGAGAATTAATTGCAGCAAGCCAACTTTCATCCAATCCCCAATAAATATCCCAAATGAATATCCATCAAAATGCTCAAAAGAGAAGCCACATCTCCCAAGTCAAGCAGCAAAACCTTCAGTGGAAGCAGAACCAGAAATAAAAACCGCTGGAATTGCAGCTCCATTTTCCTCCTGATGAGGAAATGCTGATGTGGGATGAGATTGAAAAATAGCAGCAGTTTCTTGCAGGTTTTTTATTGGGATTTGGGTTTTTTTTTACCCTTTTCTTGCAGATTTAATGGGGATAGGCAGCATCCCCAAAATATTTATCCTTGTCCTCAAAATATGTAGTTTTTTTTGGTGGGGGGTTTGTGGGGTATTGGGGGATTTTGTGTTTTTTTGTTTGCTTGTTTAGGGATTTTTTTTGTCCTTTTTTTTTGTTTTGGTTGGTTGGTTTGTTGATTGGTTTTTGTGGTTTTTTTGTTTCATTTTTGTGTGGTTTTGGGGTTTTTTGTTTGTTTTTTTTTGGGGGGTGGGGGTTTTGTTGGTAGCGGTGGTGGTGGGATTTTTATGTTTATTTTGGTTTGTTTTTCTTCTTGTTTCTTTTTTTTTTTCTTTTTTTTCCCCACAGCACTTTTAGAAAGGAAAAAACCATTTCCTATTTTTGGTCTAAAATTCCACCTTTTCCCCCCACAGTCCACAGGAGTGACCAAAGGAAGCAGCAAATTAGAGGAGCACAAACTAAGGAAAAGGATTTAACCTGCTCTAGGCTGTGAGAGGAGCTTCCCTCTTGCTCATTTTCAGCATAACCAGAGAAAAGTGAAATAAAAATGCTGCTGGCAGTGAGGTGAGGTCCACCATGGGTGAGGTCAAACCATCCTGTGAAGGACAAAACCCCAGGCAGAAATTATTTGTTCCTCTGTGGGAAGCACATTTGATGACTGATTCCATCTTCTGTCTGATGCAGCAAGCTCAGCATTGAATATCTTTGTATTTTAATATATTTATATTTTAATATTCCCTTTGAATCTTGGACATCTGTACCCATAAGTGAATAAATTCTTGATTCTGGTACCCAAGAGCCCTCCTAAAATGGTACCCTGGAGACTACATAATTTATTTTTTTTTAATTTATTTTATTTTTAAAAAAAATTATTTTAAATAATGCTTTTAATTTATTTTTTATTTAAAATTTTCACTACTGCTTCCTCCATTCCAAGAAAGGAGGTTTACCTCAGTCCTTGTCAGTGATTTTTAATTAATGAAAATGATGAATGCAGAGAGATGTGGATGGGATCCAAGGATTTGGTCTGGATTGGAAACTGATAAACTGGAGTGCTGCTTCAAGGAGTTTAAAGGATTTCCTGGGAGCTCTGCAGCAGCTGATCTGAATTCTGCACTTGCTGGTGTTCTCTGACAATTTCAGATACACCTTAAATCACAAAAAACTCCTATATTTAACAAGACTGAATAAACTCAGAGGTGGTTGGTTTTTTGGGTTTTTTGGGGTTTTTCTTTTTGCATATTTTTGTGACAGCTTTTTGTATAATTCTCAGTTACTGAAAGTAAAGCAGGGAAGAGGGGGGAAATCCAGGCCAATCAAGGCTGCTCTTGCTAAAATCAGCAGCAACCTGAAATCTCAGCTCATTGCAAGGCTCATTCATGAAAGCAATTAAATTCAGAGTTGTGTTTGACTTGAAGGGGAAGCTGGGTCAGGGGAGAAATTAATGCTATTAATTGAGTTAAAGATACCTGACACCTTCCCAAAAAAAGCCTGAATTGCCACAGGTTTGTCCAAATATTTTTGTTGCTTCAGCTGATTAACATTGTTCCTTGCCCATCACAGCTGAATTCAGTTTCATTTTGGAGCTGGGGCAGCTGTGAGATGAGGAGTGTTTAAAATGAGAGATAAATCTCTGCCCAAAGCACTGCAATAAACCCTGTTCTGGTTGAACACAGGAGAAATAAATAAGTTGGACAAGAAGATCCCCAGAAGTCCCTTCCAACCCTAATTATTCCCTGATTCTGTGATTAGAGAGTATTTTGAGCATCTTTACGTTTGGTTGTATTATAATTTTTCAAGGTTATTTCTCATAGGTTTCCACCTCGGAGAAGTCAATGCCTTTCCTCCAAGGATTTCTATCCCTGACCATCTGCACAGTGAAATAATGCAGGTGATGGGAGACGTTTTCAAATTCACAATTATTATCAAGTAAAGCAGAATTATCACTCTAAGGTAAAGACATTCAAGGTGGCTTCGTACTGAGAAAGGACAAGCTTTCATTTTTATGGGAATAGATGGTGTTGATTTTAATTTCTATGCTAAAACGATCAAAAATTACTGTGGAGGTGAAGTTTCAATCTGATTTACCTGAGAAATTCTATTTAAATAACTCTAAGAGTGCAAAACATGAGGGTAAACTGTGCCAGTTCTGAAGGAGGAGGTATCACTGTGCTGCCCTAAAAGTGATTCTGGTGAGTGCATTTTGGCAACTGAAGCTTTGATAATATTCCCAATCCAGTGCTGATGGAAATGGGAAGAAGGAACATGGGAATACCCTAAATATAATGATTGTTATACTTCACTGCCTTGGATTTTCTGTGCTTCCTAAATGGATGGTCTAGATTTCAGCTTTTCCATTTTTCTAATCCTGTACTGCATTAGTGCATAACTCTAAACTCCTTAGGAAGTGTTTGTGACTGTCTTCACATTTTGGTCAGACAGAACAATCCCTCTAGGCCTGAAATCCAAGGACACCCTACAGCCTCAGGCCCTGAAAAGGATAAAAAGTGAATTGGGAGGGAGCAAAATGATTAATGACTTCATTACCTGCAGCTGTAATTGGAGGATTAACCCCTGATATGTAAATGGGCCAAATTTGTAATTGTGTGAAACACTCGTGACCATTGTCCAGCTTGGGTGAGGCCTCTGGGAGGCTTCTGAGTGCCCCAGGTGTGTCTGTGGAGCCTTTAATAAATACCTGCTGCTCTTATTCTCTTAATCTTGTCTAGCCTCTGTCCTAGGGAGCCACTCCAAGGCACCAAAACCGTTTTCCAAACCGCGAACGCGAATCCACCGCGCGGCCGAGCTTTCTCCCCTGGCTCAGAGCGGCACCCACCTTCATAGCTCTGTGCAAGGTTGTGCCTGATGATGTTCACTGGCTGCTCAGGAAGGTTTTTGGAGGGTGACTGGCCGCTGGGGACCAGGGAGTTGGCGCAGTGCCACTGGCACTCGCCGTTGGTCTGCAGCGCGCCCAGGAAGAACCGCGCCACCTCGCAGGGCGCCCCTTGGGCCTGCCCGAATTTTGCAGGCAGCATTTGCTTCTTGCCACTGAAGACGTGGGAATCCACAGGGAAGTGTCCATAGTGGTAGGAGAAGGGCAGGCTGTAGGGAGGGGCGTACAGGAGCTCGCTGCTCTCTGAATGGAAGGTCTGTTCCTGAAGGGCGGCGGCGCTGGCGGCGGGGCTGGAGCGCCAGCTCCCCGCCTGGCTGCACTCCAGTTTGTCTGCTTGGAACGAGCTGTATTGCTGGGGGAAAGAGGGGGAAAGAGGCTGAAAGGAGGAACTTTTGTAAGGAAGGACACGACATGTCAGACCGGCACCCGGAGCTGGGCCTCGCTGGCTCAAGGGGCGGACTGAGCGGTTTTTGGACTGAGGTGTTTGAAGCTCCGCTCTTCGCGACTTTGCTTCACATGGGAACAAAAAAACTGCCTCGATTTGATAACTTTGGCAGTTCAGTTTTCCAGAATCACAGGATTAATGCTGGAAAAGCCCTCCCAGCTCATCCGGTCCCAGCTGTGCCCGACGCCCTCCTTGTCACCTGCCCAGAGCACTGAGTTCCACATCCAGCCCTACCTTGGGCACCTCCAGGGATGGAGACTCCAAAGATCCCTGGGCAGCTCCTGACAAGGCCTGAGCACCCTTCCCATGGGGAAATTCCTCCTGACATCAAGAACTCCACACACCAACAGAAAATGGCACACATTCTACACCAGCACAGATTTTCACAGCACAATTCCAAGTACAGGAATTTCTGTCCTGTCCGAGTCCAGGATTTTCTTCTTTTTGCCAAGAAAAGTCGTTGTGGTTGAAGTGCTTCGCACACTCCATATCCCAAAGGTTTTACATCACTTGCCAGAGCTGGTTTGTGCTACCTGTACTTTCCACCCTGAGGAAAAAAGGTCTAATTTTATCCTGCTTTATGAGGGATTTCCTGGGACAACTCCTGGACAATTCCTGGACAATGCTATAGGCTGTTTTATAGTAAATTCAGTCCTGGATTATCTTTATGCTGTCCCAAGCACTCTGTGAGAACAGCTGGTAATTAAATATTGCTGGAAAATTTACCTGTGGCGGGTACGGTGTTGTTCTGAGTTTTGCCTTCATTTTATTACTTTTGGGTTTTACTATTTTCCTTGTTTCCTGCGAGGTAGGTACTGAGTTTCTGCATGAAAACTGTGACTTGGAAATGGTAACCTGGTCCAGTGACAACTGAAGTTCCTTGTACTCAATATCTCTGCAAAAGAACAGCTCAGTAAATTAAAAACACAGGAAAATCCAAACTAACTCCTGTAAAAATACATGTTAGCATTCACAAGGCTTGAATTTTCACTCTTCTGAGATTTTTCACTGCATCTGGGGATGTCAAGAGGCAGAGAACCTTATGGGGTGACCTCATTCCCATGCCAGTCCATCAAAAAATTCCACTGGGAATCACATAAACACATTTGGATGAAGTGTCCCCTCTCTCTGAGCCTGAGCTGCATCATCTTCCCTCAGCCATCCCCGGCTCCCCGTGGTTTGGAATCATGGAAAGACAGAGATTAATTAATCTGTCTCCTGCTCAGCCAGGAATTGGTCTCTGTCCTGCAGAAAAGAAAAGGAGCAACGTTTCTCCCCTGTCAGCAGTGTGTGCTTGTAAATGAACCACACAAACTGCAAGGTTGGTTTTGATCGAAAAAATCACAGAATACTGAACTTTGGAAGAGACCTTCAAGCTCATCCAGTCCCACCATCACCCAGCATCACCCCAAGGGCCCCATCCAGACTCCTCCTGAATAATTCCAGAGAGAGTGATTCCACCTCCTCCCTGGGCAGCTCATCCCAAGGCCTCACCACTCTTTCAAAGGAAAAAACCCTTCTAATCTCCAATCTGAACCTGTCCTGACAAAGTTAAGGCCATTTCCTCTCCTCCTTTCCCTTGGGACACTGCAGCAGAGCCTGACCCCCCCATCCCTGCCCCTCCTGGCAGGAGCTGTGCAGGACAATGAGGTCCCCCCGAGCCTCCTCCAGGCTGAGCTCCCCCAGCTCCCTCATGAGATGTTTTCCAGACCCTTCACCATCTCCATTGCCCTTCCCTGGACAAGATGAAGATCTATACAATAATGATAATAATGAACAATGTTTTCCCTCAGCTAAAGAGACGGGGTCGTGCGAACAGAGAAAGCCGCGACACGCGAGCACAGAGCGACGCCGGAAGACACAAGCCAAGGCAGCTCGGTGGATTTAATCATTAATGACTCAATTAGTGATAGCAGGTAATGGTACAAAGTATTTGGACTTACGTAAGGACATAATTGACACTCACTATGCAGTGAGGCCGTGACGAACGGCTGTTGTGCACGATGGTGGCGTAGCTCTGCACCCACACCCAGCCTCCCTGCTTGGACAGCAGCCGGTAGTACTTGGTGGTCACTTGGCCTTTCACCAGCACTGTGAACACAAGGAAAAAAAAAAATTTTTTAAAAATTTCACGTTTTTTGGACCCAAGACCACTTCCTGGAGAGGTTTATTTGCAAGCCAAGCGCTTGTCTCCCTCACGGAATCACAGGATTAATGATGTTGGAAAAAACATTTGAGATTATTGAGTCCAACCTGTGTCCTAACACCCTCCTTCCTCTTCCTCCCAATAAACTGCAAATAACTCCCTGCAAAATTATCGATCCTGCCCCTTCCTATATATCCACAACACTGCATTATTATTTATATAAAATTTGAAGAGTCCTAAGTTTTGTCTTCCTTCTTTTCTGGGTCACTTAGGGTCGCATTCTTCACAAACACTGCTTTAAAATCTCTAACTGCAAAAGAAGAATTCAAGGCAGAAAAAGTATTTTGAACTGGACACAATTATTTTGAAAGGAGGTGAGGAAATGGGCTCAAATTGCACCAGGTTGGAGATTGGGACAGAAAATTTCCCTGGCAGAGTGGTCATGCCTTGGGATGAGCTCCCAGGGAGGTTTGGAGTCACTGGAATTGTCCCAGAGGAGTCTGGATGTGGCCTTGGGGACAGGGTTTGAGATGAGGACTGCATGATCCTGAAGGTCTCTTCCAACCCTGAGGATTCTGTGATTTTGAGATTTTTTTTCCAGATTATTTGGAAGCACTTCTCTCATAGTCGGACGGATTATCAGGTATTTTGCGATGTATTTTATTCCGTAATGTTTTTTTATCTCTGTAATCATGAAGGTTGATTTAAAAGGGTAACATTTTAAAACTCTTTGGTTGTGTAGCACCCAAAGAAAGACAAGAACAGAGAAGGGAATCAGATATGTGATAAATTCAGCAGCCAGGTAATCCTCCCTGAGCTATTTTGGATCCTCTGTGAACAAGGATGTGTTGGCAGGAGGCTGGGCTGTAACAGGAGTTGTGCAGCATCTCTAAACATTTAATCCAACCACAAATATTTCTGGTTCGGTGCCAGGCCTTTATCTCAGGATTCACTGGAAGATAATGCCCAGCCTTTGAAGCTGGTTCTTCTCTTGTGTGGCCTTGGATCATTCCTCTGAAAACTCCATCTTCTTACTCTCCTACAGAGCTGTTTATTGTAAATTAGGGAATCATGGACTGAGCTTGTTGCACAAATTCTTTTCAAAAAAGTGGCCAATGGCAGAAATTCCTTTAAATAAATATGATTAAGAAATGGAATCTAAACCTGGTCTCTGTCATTTTAAAACCATTCCCCTTGTTCTGTCACTTTTTGCCCATATAAAAAGTCTGTCTCCCTCCTTCTCATCCATTTCCTTGTGGTACTGAAAGACTCAGTGAGGTCTCTCCAAAACCTGGAGCACATGGGCCACCTCTGGGCTGCTTCCTCTCCTATCCATTGCACATCCCCACATATTTAAACTTTCCTTCAATTCCAGTTTCTCTCTCAAAGAAAATCAGGCTCTTACAGAATTGACAGATCTTTCTGGAAGCGTCAGTTCTTCCATTTTCGGTTGAGGTGCCCGTGTGTTCAGAGGGCAACAAAATGAACACCCAAAAGTCTCTGCAGCTCCAACCTCTGCTCCTGGCACAGGGACAGCACCCAGGGAGCAGCTGGGGCTGGCCCAGGAGGGATTTAGGGTGGATTTTAGGGAAAGGTTCTTCCCCAGAGGTGCTGGCACTGCCCAGGGAATGGGCACGGCCCCGAGGCTGCCAGAGCTGCAGGAGCCTTTGGGCAGCGCTGCCAGGGATGCCCAGGGTGGGATTTTGGGGGGTCTGGGCAGGGCCAGGAGTGGGAGTGGATGATCCCTGTGGGTTTATTCCCACTCAGGATATTCCATCATTCCATGATCCTGCAGGACATCCAAAAACCCACCCTCCATGGTGGCCACCAAGTCACCGCTATTTCGGGTTTCAAATCTCTATTGGGTATCAGCTTTTTTGCCTCATTCTTGCTGGTGTTTCTTCCACCCCTACATTTCTACATTAAATTTTTTATGGAAGGAGAGTGTGCAAGATTAAAATAATAATGAGGTGTGTGTGTGTAATTATGTAAACACACTGAGAAAAATATAAAGATATTTGTATTTTTTAAGTGCAATTTATCACTGCAAGTTGAAAGTCATGGAGTGGCTACTCAAAGATTCTGTTCTAAAAATATTAATAATTGTCTCTGTGCCACAGTTTTACTATTTCTTAGTGTTCTATAATTGTGGGTGGTGCTCTGTAGTTGTGCTGCCCCATCCCTGGCAGTGCCCAAGGCCAGGTTGGACAGGGCTTGGAGCAACCTGGGACAGTGGAAGATGTCCCTGCCACGGCAGGGGGTTGGAATGAGATGATCTTCAAGATCACTTCCCACCCAAACCATTCTGTGCTTTTATGATTTGGTGATTCATTCTAAAATCCAAATGGTCCCGTTCCAGGAAATGATCTTTACATTTCAGCACAGGCCATGTAACAGGTAATTTTTGGAATGTGGTCTGGGCTTTTCAGAACTAGGTCTTTGTGCTGGTTTAATGAGCACGTTTTCCTTGAGTTCCAACTGCTTTGCTACACTCAGTCTTCCCAAAGAGAAATTAATGCTGTCATGGATCACTAACTATAACAAAGTTCTTCCGTGTGCTTTGGGACTAGTTTTGGCTTTCCTCCTCTCTCACTGATTTTTTTTTTTTTTTAAATCCCTATTTTAGCTCTGCAGTTAAGACAGTGTTTAAAAAGATGTGAAAACCACTGAGGGCTACAGTGTTCAGCTTTCCTTCCTAATTATATGGATTAACCAGTATTTCTCTGGGGATGGGGGAGGATTTTGTGTCTCCTGATTTTTTAGCAATCTGGGGAAAGTCTGACCTTGGCTGAGGGACAGTAACTGAGACAGTGAGTGAGCTCAGCTTCCATCTGGCTGTGTGCTCAGCTGCCCTGTTTGATGCTGAAGAGGAAACCTCAGGAATGGGAGTGAGGCAAATCCACCACCCAGACAATGTGTGCAGGCTCAGACTTCTTGGTGGCCTCTGCTGCAGCCCAAGGGGGAGGATCCCGTGGCTTTCTCCTCTGGATGTGCCCTCTGGGGGTTCCAGGGCTCTGGCTCGCTCCTGGCTTCGCAGGGAAGCTGGGAAAGGCTCTGGGCTGTCAGACAGGACTATTTTCTATTTTAAAAGGCTCCACCAGGCTCCTGGGTGTGTGGCTGGGAGTTCCCAGCCTGCACTGAAGGATACCAGCGCAAGAAATGGATTTCTTGGTTCCACACTGGCAGCAGGTCCTGGTTTAGCTGCCCTGGCATGCCATGGGCACGGCCCCTGGGCAAGGCACGGTGCCCAGCAAACTTCTTCTTTTTCTTTTTTTTTTTTTTTTTTTTTTTTTTTTTTTTTTTTTTTTTTTTTTTTTTTTTTTTTTTTTTTTTTTTTTTTTCTTCTTAAATTCTGGTGCTGCTCTGCCACAAGGTTTGAGTGCTGACCCAACACCAGAGACGGTGGAACTGTCTCAAGCTACGTCAGGGAAGGTTTAGGTTGGATATTAGCAAAAAAAATTTCACTGAAAAAATAATAAAATACTGGAATTGTCTTCCTAGGGAGGTGGTGGAATCACCATCTCTGGATGTGTTTAAAAAAAGACTGGACTTGGTGCTATAGTCTGGTTGTGGTGTTAGGGCACAGGTTGGACTTGATGTTTTTAGAGGTCTCTTCCAACCTCATTATTCTGGGATTCTGTGAATTCTGTGATTCTGTATTTTTCTATGAAATAACCCTACAAATGCATAGGGTGACTTCCAGGGAGCAGGAGAAGGGTTTGGTGGAGACACCAGCTGGGCCGAGGCACAGAGACCTGAACCCTGCTCAAGTTCCTGTGGGAAGAGCAGGGATGTTGCAACACGTGGAATGCCCAAAATCCCCTCACAATGGCACAGAAAAAGGGATTTCTCTGAGGGCACAAAGGTATTTTGTCTGTACTGGAACTCTGTCCTGTATTTTAGCGTGCAGGATCCTCGGGCAGGGCCTCCTTATTTGTGTGGCCACATTTCAGGGCAAACACTGTGTGTATGAAAGGGGCTCTAGAAATAAATAACACTGCTTCAAACACCACAAGTGTTTTCCTGCAGCTGGAAGCCAATCAAATGTTTCAAGCAGGAAACTCTCTTTGCTGCCAGCACACCTTAGGCAAATATTCACATCTACATTTCCCTCCTAGCCTGATGTTCTTGTTCTGTCCCTCCTAACTTGTTCCCCTCACTGTTTCCTTTGTTTTATTCCTTGTGCTGCCTCACTCTGAGTTCAGCTGCTTCAGGTCTTCAGTTTGGGATTTTTTTTCCTCTTAAAAAAAAGCAAGTGGTTATCCTAGTTTAGGTTTGCCTATATATTTTTTTCCCCTTAATACCCTTATTAGGTGTAAGATGTTTCTCTTTGGATTTCTGCATCAGGTGACACTTCATCATCAGATTGCTTTATAGAATGGTACAACAAACCTGCCAACCTTCCACTGTTCATGTTCCTGAGACATTTGCTGATGGATGCTGGGGGAGCTCTCACAGTGCTCCCCAGAGGGACTTTGTGCACTTCACATCTGGTTTAATAATTCCCATTACTTGGTATTCCAACCATGACCCTGCACTGTTCCCACTGCTGCTCAAGAATTACTCATTATTTTGTGCTTCTTGGGATTTATCTGCTTTCATAAATTCCTATGCATGGCTCGCATTTTTCTTCTGTTTTTAAAGTTTACAGTAATTTATCTTTAATCTACAGAGCTGCTTTTAGTATACTATTTGGCTGAGAGTTTTTTTTTCCTTGTGGAAGGATGTGGTAGGTAATTCAGTGAACATGATTTGTCTCTTCATTTAAAACTCCAGTCGTACATGGATCAAACTGGCAGCCACAGAATTATCCATCCTGCTACTCTAAAGTGGAAAACTGTTTTCCAGAGGTGATTGTGGCTGTGGTGGCATCATCTCTGTGCTGGCTGATGAAGGTATTTCAAACAGTCTGGTGGAAATACTGAATTTATTCTGAACAGGTCAACAGTCACATCCACATGCAGGTGTCACCACCACAGAGAGGGTGTCCCTGACAGGATATTCCATGTGCCCTGGCCGTTCTTTTTTCCAGTTCTCAGCGACCCAGAGTGTTCAATCATGTTTGGTAAATCTGAGCTCACTGTGAAGATCAGCTTTTGCTTCCCCAGGTGTAGCACACCCTGCCACCGGCGGAATTCCGCACTTGCAATTTTGGCTTGGACTTGCCAAACACAGCTACAACCTCCTTGACATCCCAGATCCTCATCAGTAGCACACACTAAGAGAAGAAGGAAGCCTAAAGGAAGGATTTGACTCTGGCTGCTCCCAGCCTACAGGAGCAGTCTGGAAAAAAAATTCCCTGACATTGGTTTTTGGATGTCATCTTTGCCTCGTATGGGTTGCAGCAAACGGAGCCAAATCCAGAGTTCAGCCATTCCCTCAATTTGCTTTTCAAATTAATGTGCTACCGAATGAACTCCTTCCCAGATCCAGATGTTTGAAGATATGATTAGTGACTCTGTTGGAAGATGGGAAATTATTAAATGTGTCATTTTTTTCCTGACAATCCGTTCTCCGAACCTCATCCACATGCTACTAATGAATGTCCCTCCAAGGAGTTCTTGGGATTGCATTCCCCTCAAACACGGGATGATTATTACTAACATATTTCAGAGGAATGCAGAGCTGCTGCATAGTTTTTTTGTTTTAACAGCAGAGGCTAGTGAAGTTCAGATTTTCCCCTCTCATTTTCTTGCTCTTTTGGTTTTCTTTTCCTTCAAGAGATCACCATCCAGAATCAATTCCAAATATTTAAAATAGCCTGGATCCCCTCAGCACAAAAATTGGCCAAATAAGTTGGTTTGGGTGTTGTTTCTTTTTTTCTTTTTGGAAGCCCCCAGCATATTGAGCTTTATTTACTCAATTAATGGTTTCCTTAAGTGATAGCCAAGAACTTTTGAAAATCTGTCTCCAGTCAAGATTTGGAAAGGATTTTTTTCTGCTTTCCAGCATGCTGCTTGTTGTCTGCAAAACTTCTCACTGTACTCAATGTATTCCATAAAATCCCAGAATGATTGGGGTCGGAAGGGACCTCAGAACCCCTCCAGTGCCACCATGGCAGGGACACCTCCCACTGTCCCAGGCTGCTCCAGCCCCAATGTCCAACCAGGCCCTGGGCACTGCCAGGGATGCAGGGGCAGCCACAACTGCTCTGGGCACCCTGTGCCAGGGTCTCCCCATCCTCCCAGGGAGGAATTTTTTCCTAATATCTGATCTAAACCTGTAATTTTTCAGTGTGAAGCCATTCCCTGTGTGCTGTCCCTCCATCCCTGGAAATTGTCTCTCTCCAGCTTTCCTGGGGCTCCTCCAGGCCCTGCCAGGCCACCCTGAGCTCAGCCCAAAGCTTCTCCTGTGCAGGTGAACAATCCCAGCTGTGCCAGCCTTTCCTGCCAGCAGAGCTGCTCCATCCCTCTGCTCATCCTGGAGCTTCCATGGACTCCCCCCAGCAGCTCCAGGTCCCTCCTGTGCCTCCAGCCCCGGTACTCACACAGGTGGTGAGCGTATCGCAGGTGGAAAACGTCACAGCCGTGGACGTGGTGGTAGAGGGTTTTTTCTATCAGATCCTGGGGTTCATATCCAGTTAATTCCGTGACCCTGGAAAAGGAAAAAAAAAAAATCTGCAATAAACAAAATCTCCAGGAGTATTCCGTTTCATTGACCCAACATTTGATTGTGCCAACAAATCGGTGCCTGAAAGCTGCGGGATGAAATGTTAGTTTTGGAAACAGAAACCTCACCTTTACAAGAAAAGAAACCCTTTCAGCCCAGCCAAAGCAAGGTGCAGCTTTTCCCTGGTACACCCAGGCAGGAAAAAGAGCTCTTTTACTGATTTCCACCTTGGGCTTTTGCCACTGCCATGCAGGATCCTTTGCACAAGGTTCCACTCGAGGAGCTGCTCATGAAACAACAATAAAACCTCTCTTGTGGGCTGCTGACACATTTTCATTTGCTTTTGCCAAGCTACGAGTGCAGAAGGTGTGTTGGGCCACATGTGATCGTGGCCTGTGAATAAATCCAGGCTGGTGCCTAACAGGAGAAAAAAGCAGGAGCTTATTCCAGCTGAGAATGTGGGAAGACCAGGAGGTGTGAAGACCACAGGGTGAGGAAAGGAAAGCTGAGGCAAGACTTAAAAAAAAAAAAAAAAAATCCCAGAAACAGAAGAATGGAACGAATTCAAAACAGCAGCATCTCTGCAGATGTTAAAGAATCAAATTCAGAGGTCAGGCTTACACTGGGTCAGACCTGAAGAGTCAAACTTCATGTTTCAAATGGACTTTTTTAAAAATTTAGTTGAGGAAAAAACAATCCCTAAAGTACAATGTGCCACTCAGCCAAATTGTGGCTTGTTTACCCAGGCTTGGGGAGTGGTGGGGATTTGTGATGTCCTGAGCTTTCTTTGCCTAAAAAAGGGAGAGCAGTAAGGAATGTCCACATGAACAAGTGACACAGTCCCTCAGCAGGTGACAGTAGAGTTGTCCCTGCTGAGGATCTGCTCCTGCAGCAGCAGAGGCATCTGCACGTTTTGATTGCAGGAGTTTTACCTGGCACTAGCCCTAGCCTAGGCCTGTGGACTGAAATATTTGTTAAAGTTGGAGTGTCCTAGGGTGCTCCTGGAGGCTGTCCTCTGCTGGAGCTCACCTCTAGGTCAGGGGTGGCTCCGTGTGGTGGAAAAGTCTCTCCTCCCACCCGAGCTTCCAAAGAAAGGCTCAGCAGTCTCTGTTGTTCGGTCTCAAGGCAGTTTTTTGCATGTTATCTAAAAGATTTTCTTCTGGGGCTGCTGTGGTTTGCTCACAGCTCAGGCAGAGGCACACACACACCCTGACATCCTCTCTGACTTCTTCTAAATGTTTACAGTTTTCCCCAATGCCTATTACCTATATTAAATTGTGCTTTTCTACTCTAAACCAATCTGTGAGTGCCAACATCACCAAGAACATGGAGGTGAGGAAGGAGAAAGAGGGAGGACAGGGCAGGCCCAAATCCCAAATCCATCTTAAAACCTCTGACCCCCATGGACAAAACCAAAACCCCCCTGTACAGCACTCAAAAATTCTTCCCTTTACTTTGTGACTACTTCTACTCTAATATCTAAACTTTTGTGACTTCTTGTTCTTCCTGCAAGGTTGGTAACTCATTCCATGGCTCAAACTCAAAATCCCAGCTGTTTGCAGCTGCCTGCCAGGGTCTCGAATGCTTCTGACCTGGGCCTGGAACCTCCAAAAATGTCTGAGGGACATTTTGAGTTTCGACAGTCCTCCAGTTTAGATGGAAGGAATCCAGTTTAAATGCCCCAAGCTTCTTCATGCCATGAGCTGAGTGGGGATGGTCAGGACATGGACTTCCAAAGGATGTTCCTTCACCACTGGTGAGGATGCACAGCACAGAGATAACACAGGAGCGTCCACAGAAATGAGCAGGGGGTCCCAAGCATCTCCTGTCATTGTAGGATTGATGATAATGCACATTTTGATTAATTTTTTTTAATGTTATGACTATTGTGCATCTCCTGTACTCATACCCTGACTCTAACCAGCCCAGTGAGTCTCTCTAACCCCAGGGAGACTGAGGATGTTCTGCGTGAGAGGGCTGAGGGCTTGGATTCTTCTGAAGGACAACATCAAAATGCCTTGAATAGATGCTTGTGCTCCTCCTCTGCACTCATCCCAAATCCTCACTGAAGCCAGTCAGGAGCACGAAATATTGGTGGAAGTTCCTGCTCAGGTTTCAATTCTCCCTCTGACTTCAGTGCACTTAAAAGCAGGGTGGCAGCTCCATCCTGCCCCTCTGGTGAGTACAGACACAGCTCCCCCAAACCCAGCCAAAGCACCACAGACACGAGCCAGGACCTCAGGGGTTTGTTTTCCCAAAGGTGCAGTCTCACTTTGAAGCTGGTGGCACAAAAAACCATAATTGACAGCTCCTAGGACACACAAATTTTGAAAAAGCTTGGATCTGGAAATAAACTCAGATGTTTTAGCTCCTTAACATCAAATCAATCCCTCAAGCAGCCTGGGCTCTCCAGGTTGTCCTGTGCAGGTGACAGGATGCACAGAGCTCGCCCCTGGGATCAGTTCTGCTCTCCTGAGTTCTTCCAAGTCTTTTTAAACCCCCAGCAGTGAATGCACCACAAAAATCAGAGTGAGCAGCTCACTTTGGAGGGATGTGACTGTCTTCTCCTTCCAGTGCCTTCAGTGAATGAACTCCTGTGTGGTTTATGTTGCTCAGGTGTCCAGAAAGGGATTTTGAGCTCCTCCTTCCCATGGTTTTCAGGACTGTTACGTCTCAAGATCCATCCCCTTGTATGGAAACCAGAACCAAGCCTGACACCAGTTTTTTTCTAACTCCTAATATGCCCCTGTTTTCAGCAAATACAGCTTGGTTTGCTCAGCTGGGAGAGCAAAAGGCTTTGGTGAAGCTGAATTCCCCTGCTCATCCCGTGTGTGGATGACACCCATCTGCTCCTTGGCAAACAGAGCTCTGCAGCAGCTCTGGGTCTATCCCCGCTCCTGTCAGCACCTCTGCTTGTTCTGTGGCCTTTGAAGACACTTCTGTCTCCAGGCAGTTCCTCCCAGGCACATCATTTCCTTTTCCCCACATGCAAGGACGTGTTGCTGAACCCTTCGTGCTCCTTTGTAGCCGCGGCACGAAGCGATACGCGTGCCAAAAAATGAGGAAGGGTTCCAGAAACAACGAGTTCTTTGTGTCCCAGCAGCTGATGGAGCCACTGTCTCCTGGGCTGAGCACGCAGAAAAGCCTCTTCTTGCATGGTTGACCTCCACTCCCTTGGGTACAGAGGTTTTCTCACACATTCACTGCGTGAATGTATTCCCTGCAAATCCAGCCCGCCAGGGAAATGGGGAATGTGGGACACACAGGAAAGGATTTTTGAAGAATGATCAATACTTTGTGTATTTGGGATTTTCCTTTCAAGGTCTCCTGGACTGCACTGGACAAACTATTGTGTCCTACATGGTGCCTACTCCAAAACCAGAGAAATTAATTTCAGTTCTGATTCTGTGCTCATCCGAGCTCCATCAGCTGAAGTGGAGGCAGGGCTCTCCTTCCTCAGCTGTTTTTCCCAAATTTTGTTTAAGAATGTCCTGTTATCATGTGTAGTAGCCAATGGAATTAATTTCCATTCTAGAAACCCCATTATTAGTGTTGGTTTCATGGTTAAAGCATTACACTAAAAGACAGAACTCTCTTTCCTTACTGCTCTCCCAAAAACTTTCTGGATGACCCCAGCCAGTTGTTGATCTCAGTATTCCACTTTTGGGGTTGGGTTTTTTTGGTACATCCTCATTCCTTTTGCTGGCTTTATATGATAAAATTTTTGTCCTTTCAGGTAAAAAAAAAAAAAATTATCACTGCTCCTCAGACCAATCCTCCCAGCAAGAAGCTTTTAGCTGATCCCAAAAGTGCGGGCAACTCCAGGTTAAATTGGACAGGCTCTTATTTCTTGGCATTCCAGACAAAGTTTGGTCTATCCAGCTGCCTGAAAGCCTTTGGAGGCTCTGAGTTCCAGATCTAGTTTGGACTGATGGTTTTTTGTTTTTTTTTCACAGATGTTTTGAGCCGTTTGGAAGCCGTGGCACGTAAACACACGAATGCTCGACGCTGGAGATGAAAGAGCTGCTTACCTGGAATCGAGGAAAATCAGTTTTAAATCCAAGCTGGCTCTGAACATAAACATGTTGCTGTGGAGCTTGATCTCAGTGATTGCACTGGGAGGCAAAGATTGCCCCACGGCCACCAGCCCCACGATTTGGTAACAGGAGTCGTACAGGGACATATCCAGCATGTACTGGCGGATCTTCAAGTAGCCACTGCAGTGGATCACCTGGAAAAAGAGGAAAACACCCTCAGGATCTGATGGAAAAGCCCCAAATCTGCTGCCCACCCAGTCTCAATGAGCTTATAAAAACACATATCGTGTTTTTGTCTTCTTTTCTGCCTGGGTGAGGGTTGGGATTGAGAGCGCTCGAGATGGTATTTCATGTTCAGACCCAGATGTTTATTAGTTCTTATTTCTATCACAGTCCTACAAGTCATGAGTTCTACAGAATTTCACTGAAAAGCTATAAAATGGCTCTGTATCTATCTCTACAAGGCCTTTTAAGGATAAACTGTCCAATTAAGAAATGACACGTCTCTATTGGACACAAAATGAGTTCACAGAAGCTTGGTAAGTTCAAAAGAGAAAAAGAGATAATTTTATTTCTGACCTCGCAATATATAGAATTCCAAAAGTGCCAGTGGATTGGAGAGTGAAATTGCCACCTCTCCATCCACACTGATCAAACCAAAATCCATCAATTCTCTCCTCCCACAAAGAATGCAAAACAATCATTATTTACACAAAAAGTGTGTGAGAACTCCAGTAGAAATATGTAAACATTATCAGAAGGCTAAAGAAGCTTTATGAGAAATTTAAAACTTTCAAAAGAGCTATAAAAGAAAACGTAACACTTTTAAAAATCAGGGTAACATTGACATCTCAATTATTTTCACTTTTAACCCAATACCCAACCACCCGTGCCCACGATGGGACTTTTTTATCCAATTGCACAAAACCACCCAAACCCATGGAGAAGGAGGTGAAGGAGAAGGAGCAGCCTCCACCCCAAAACCTCCATCTTGCTTTATATCTATTCCTGCATTCTAAACCCTTCAACTCTGAGTTTCCACCCTGTGCTATCACACACTTCCATTCCAACTCCACACCTGTAATCTCAGTTTTATTATTGAATTTTGGAAGCTTCTCCACGGCCTCAGGTCAGTGCAGTGTTCTCCTGGGGGTCAATGCTGGCAGCACAGAAAGTTAAAAATTCTCAATAACCAGGGTTCCAACAGACACACTCCCCCATGACATTAAAATCTGGGACATCTGTTGATTGCAGTTAATTTGTAAATAGAGATTAAGACTCAGTAAGTGCAGTTTTGTGTTTGCTGACAGCATGATTAATCCAGTAGTGAAGCACCTCCTCTCTGGGGGACTGCCTAATTGCTTTCTAATTAATACTTTAAGCTCTTTGATACAGATTTCTTGTAGATACAGGCAGAATTCCTGTCCATTTATTTAAAAAAATATCTGGAAGTTGCTTATTTTAAATGTCCATCTCTCTCGCACACACAGTCAAAGATGAATAAAGACATTTACATTTTAATGAGTTATTATTCTGATGTAAGTATAGGCACTTTAAAAAAGACACTTTAAGAACCCAGTGGGTATTGATCACAACAGCAATAAAAATTAACTGATGTTTATGCAAATGCACCAGAAAGGAGTTTTAAAGTTCTCTGCTCAAGATCAGAGGGTTTTGGTTTGGTTTTGGGTTTTTTTTTGACACGTGACCAAGCCCAAGGTCCTGAGCTCAGATTTCGGGATCCCTGGGTACAACTGCTGCTCACAGAGGTGATAATGACAGTGTTAGACTGTAAAAATTCAGTGTCAGCTAAAGGGGAGGGGGAAATGTAACCTGGGGCCTATTCCAGGCCAGAAGATTTATTTAGTGTGGTCCTGGTGTTCAGAAATCATCAGTGCCCCTGCCAGCTTTCTGGCCCAAGCAGCAGGAATATCACATCCCTTTGCTGAATTTCTCTGTTCGTTTCTCTTTTAACTGTGTTCTGTGGAAAGGAATTAATTTTCAGCGTATTTATTGCTCTAAACCACCTACCAAGCATCACCTGGAAATTGGCTCCTCCTGCTTAACCTTCCTCCTCTCCAATTTTTCAATTTTTAGCAAAAGCACAGTCAGATCTCTCAGCAGATCTCAATTCCCCCATCACTTGGCCCATGAGTTTTTTTCTGTGCTTCAGCTAATGAGGTGATTTCTTAAAAATTAAGCCCTGACTTTAAGCACAGTCGCATGGAATAAATTTAAGGCAACATCTCTCTAGACGAGAGAAATTCTTTGATTTTTCACTGTGCAAACTTTTAATAGTGAGCCAGAGAAAGCGATGCCTCTGATTAGCAGTGATAATTGGGAATTAAAAAAACCCAAAAACCCCCAAAGCCACGTGGAGATGCCACGATTGAAGCTCAGAGGAATCTGATTTCAGATTCAGCTTTGGGACAGGACCATTTTTGTGGGGAGCAGCTGAGCAAACAGGGCTCAGTGTCATGAAGAATTATCAGTGCCTACACTGCACATCTGAAAATAAAAAAATACTGCAAATCTGAAAATAAAAATTGCCTGCACATCTGAAGAGAAAAACTACTGCACATCTGAGAATAAAAACTGCCTGCACGTCTGGAAATAAAAAATACTGCAAATCTGAAAATAGAAATTGCCTGCACATCTGAAAATTAAAAATACTGCATATCTGAAAATAAAACCTACCTGTAAAGATGAAAATAAGAGCTACTGCACAGCTGAAAATTAAAACTGCCTGGACATATAATAAATAAAAACTACTGCACATCTGAAAATAAAAGCTGCCTGTAAAGTTGAAAACTGTCTGTAAAGTTGAAAATAAAAACTACTGCAAATCTGAAAATAATAATTGCCTGTAAAGATGAAAATAAGAACTACTGCACATCTGAAAATAAAAACTTCTGCACATCTGAAAATACAAACTTCTGCAAATCTGAAAATAAAAGCTACTGCAAGTCTGGAAATAAAATCTACTGCAAATCTGGAAAAAAAAATCTGCCTGCACATCTGAAAATAAAAACTACTTCAAATCTTAAAATAAAATAAACTACTGCACATCTGAAAATCAAAACTACTCCAAATCTGGGAATAAAATCTGCCTGCAAATACGAAAATAAAAACTCCTCAAAGGACAGCTGTTATTTTACCACTACAGTGGCTTCTTATTTCATGTCATAAATAAAAAAAATCATACAAACAGCAAGATTTACAAACGGACTTGGTGGTTTAGTACAGTTCCACCCTGAGGGGATGGCAGTGGTTGAGTTTTTTAGTGTTGAGGCCAAGGAGGTGCCTGGTGCAGCTGGGTGGGATGTGGCAAATATCCAAATTCCTGTGCCTGGGTTCCTGCCTCACCTGCCTCCTGTTCCATGGGGGAATAAAACCAAACTGTTTTATTCCTCTATAGAACAGGGGAAATATATATATATATATATGTGTGTGTGTGTGTGTGTGTGTGTGTGTGTGTGTGTGTGTGTGTGTATGTATATATATATGTATATATATATATATATATATATATGTAATAAACCAAACTGTGCTCTCCTGGTAGCTCCAGGGCTGGCTCAAATTAATTCCCAGGGACCAAGGTGAGGTGTGTGCCACCAAGTTTAAATTTTAATTACTGAGGGCATTTGGGGCATTTTTCTGATTCTTCTCATCACAAACTTTGCTCTCAGCTACACATAAGTAAAAATAAACCCCAAACCGAACACCTAAATAAACTTGCCAATTGTCAAGTATTTCAGTGGTGGAGAAGCAATTTATAAACATTACCTTGTAGCCACTGCAGGTCAGGCCTGCGTTCCTCTTGGCCAGGACGCACTTCATCCTCAGGAAGAAGGATCTCTCGATTTCATATTCTGAAAGCACAAAGCACATTTTGCTGCTGATTTATTCCTGAAGATCCCAAACCTGCCCACAACATTGCCTTTCCCAGAGGTGTTGATGTTTCAGCTTTGGGTAGAAGCAGAAATCAGCTGATGCCCGAGGTTTTAGTACAAACAGTGCCTTGGGCACTGCCAGGGTGTCATGGGGTGATGTTGTGATGTTGGTACCCAAAATTGTGGTTCTGTCCAGGGGCAGCCACAGCTTCACCTGTGCCAGGCCTGCCCACCCTCACAGGGAAGGATTTTTCCCCAACATCCCACCTAAACTTGGGGTTTTTCAGTGTGAAGCCATTCCCTGTGTGCTGTCCCTCCATCCCTGGAAATTGTCTCTCTCCAGCTTTCCTGGGGCTCCTCCAGGCCCTGCCAGG